CAGCCTATTCAAAACCTCAATTTCAGTCATTGTCGAGTTCATATTACCTTTATTATCTTTTAATGTCGATTTCAGCGAGTTATGTATGGTTTTAAACTTTCCCCCAATATTTTACTGCTTTTATTGCTTTACGTCTGCTTTTAGTCTCTAAGATTTAAGTGAATACTTTCCTTTTACGATTTCAGTCAAATTTTAGTACTGTTTTAACTACTGCTTATCTGTTATCGTTCTTTAACCCCTTGGTGCCGGGTATGACGTGTACGTACATGCTATGCCCACAGTGAGTACTTGTTTGATTGTTTTTACGCATAGATGGCAACACTTGTACTAACTCCCCAATGAGCCAGTTACGAGCACCGCCCGTCTCGCCCGTTTACTCGCTTCTTTGATTTGCAAAATATTTTACGTAATCTTATTTTGCTGTTACTAATGTTAAAAAAATATATAAAAATTATAATGTTTATGATAAAAATAACACCATCGATTTTCATAGCGCTAGTGAAAAATACGTTTTTCCCGCCATTTAAATCAGGCGCTAGCAGAGCTATCTATCGGCAGACATTTCACGAAAAACATAGAAAGTGGGCACAATATTTTCCCCATTTTTTGTTCATTTTCCCCGGCACCATTGGGTTAATTCTGCTTTTACCTTTTACCTTTCTCTTTTACGATTTTAATTAAGATTTTAGTACTGTTTTTAACTATTGCTTACCCGCCATTGTACTTTAGGGTAGTTTTATTTCTGCTTTTGATATTTTTGATGTTTTTACCTAATCTTACCTGTATTCTACCTCGTTATTCTCTCGTACTTTTGCTTACTATTTATACTGCTTCTGCTTCTACTACTACTGCCTCTGCTTCTGCTACGATTTCGACTACTGTTCTTATCTCCTTACTTACCACTATTTGTTTATTTTGTTATATTGCGAAAGGACTCTAATTGTTATAAAGCACTGCCGTATCAATAGTATTTGTGGAAGCAATAGTTAGTCTATATCCACAGAGCTTGGAAATTTGGTCGCTACTTTTTTTTTGGTTTCCACATTTTTTTCCTCTTTCCGTACGAGGAGTGAACGGGACCCCATTATCCCTTCATACCTGGTCCATAAGCCTCTCCTGCTTCACAGGAATATTCCGGGCTCCTCTTAGACGGACATCATCTGGCCTTAAGCCAGGTGTGACCCTTACAATATATATATATATATATATATATATATATATATATATATATAAAGAGAGAGAGAGAGAGAGAGAGAGAGGAAGGGTTTGTGTGTATATGTATATATATGTATATGTATATGTATAGATAGATATATCTATTTATGTATATAAATAGAATAGAAATATGTATATATATATATTCATATACATTTACATGTGTGTGTATATATATATATATATATATATATATATATATATATATATATATATATATATCCATATGTATCCACACACACACACACATATACCTATACATATGTATATATATTCATATATATATATATATATATATATATATATATATATATATATATATATATATATATATAAACATGTGTATATTCATATATATATATAAAAACATACATATATATATATATATATATATATATATATATATATATATATATATATATATATATATATATATATGCATATATACATGTAAATACACACACACATAAATACAAGATATAATCGGCAGACATTCAACTTGACTTCGATACGTAGATGATGTCCTCGCCATTGTCCCCAGAAGGTCGTGCTTACATCATACGTTGACCCGGCTTAACTCCATCCACGAAAAAATCCAACACACCGTGGAGGAGGAAGATGATCAGAAATTACACTCTGATCCGTTGGGGTGAAGATGGGTTACGTTTCTCTATATACTGGAAGCCAACAAATAAAGATGATTATATCCATTACCACTCCGCCCACAGCAATAAAACAAAGTCCGGTGTTGTAATTGGCCTTAGAGGACTGAGGATCTGCAGCCCTGAATTTCTTGAGCATGATTTTGCCTATGTAGTTGATTCTTTCATGAAACATAAATGCCCCGAAACATAAACCTCAGAAAGAAGGCGGAGAACATACTTGTGGTTTCAGCACCAGGATCAGCGATCATCGAGCTGACACCCGTCACCATAGGACTTCCAACGCTAAGGTGGTATATATAGATGAAGCAGGACATCAACCCAACTTGCAGGAGGCAGAAATAGTCCATGGGGGACTGAGCAAACAGAAAAGAAAAATGGAAGCTGCATACATCGCGACGGAGAATAATGTCAACACAGCATCGGGCAGATTCAAACTATCCAAGGTCACGGCAGCAATTATACGGACAACGAGTGAGAGGTCACACTGTCAGGTGCTTCGTCAGCTCACATCTGATATATATTTCCTTTGATGTATGTATTTCTGACGAAGATATAATCGAAACCGGTCAAATACATCTCTTGTAATTTGAAGATATTCATTCTCATTCGTATAGATATATATATACACATTAATATGTATATATACATATACATAGAGAAAAAGATATCGATATACAAGTAGCAAGCTTAAAAAGTCGCAATTGGCAGTCCTTTAAGCCCATTTGGAAACAATTATATCTGTTCTTTATGAGAAAATTTGATTAAATGAAGAACCTGTTAGTTTCAAACCCAATCCTAATTTTCGATATGTGGATGCTACATCTTCTTTATTCAAGCCAGAGAACAGTATTGATATGTATCTGAATCTATTTAATGTATGGTATATGTAGAATTTCACAAAGAAATATATGTTACTAATGTAAATAATTCCAATTATTTACTTATGTTGATCAAGGGTAAAGATAAAGGACTAGTTATCTGGATCATTTATTGGTGATCTTACAGTTGGATGAAAAATTCCCAACTAATAACCGTAGCCTCTTTTGGGTTGAGCAGATCCAGTCCTGGAAGAATCTGAGCCAAAATTGTTGCTTGCAACGGAAGAGCCAGCTGTGGCAGCTGAGCCCGGGCGAAAGCCAGCAGTATCAGCTCGGCCAGAAGCGAAGTTAGAGCTACCGACTGGACCAGGGCCAAAGCTGGCACTCTCAACTGGGCCAGGACTAAAAGTGGCACCACCAGCTTGAACAAAGCCAAAACTACCAGTGTCAACTGGGCCAGAATCAAAGCTGGCGCCACCGATAATACACACACACACACGCACACACACACACACACACACACACACACACACACACACACATATATATATATATGTGTGTGTGTGTGTGTGTGTGTGTGTGTGTGTGTGTGTGTGTGTGTGTGTGTGTGTGTATGTAGTGTGTGCAAATTCATAAATACATGTATGAGTGTGTGGAAGATATATGAGTGTATGTGTTTATCTCTCTCTGTCTCTCTCTCTCTCTCTCTCTCTCTCTCTCTCTCTCTCTCTATATATATATATATATATATATATACATACATATGTATATGTGTGTACATATATACACAGATATATGTATGTATATATATATATATATATATATATATATATATATATATACATATATACATATATATATATATATATATATATATACATATATATATATATATATATATATATATATATATATATATATATATATATATATACATATGTTTTTCCGCACATCTGTATGTCTGTATGCACACACACATATATATGGTTTTATATATATTTATATATATGCACATATATATGTATAAATGTATATATACATACATATATATATATATATATATATATATATATATATATATATATATATATATATATATATATATATATATATATGTATATATATACATTTATATGTGTAAATATATATATACACATATATATGTTTATATACATATACATATATATCAAGTTCTATTTCAGTAGCGAGATTTACAAAAAAAAAATAAAAAAATAAAAAGTCACAATAGGGAGCCCGTTAATCAAACTTGGAAACAATTTTACCTGTCACCTGTGAGAAAATTTGATTTCAAACCCTGTCTCAATTTTCGATATGTGGATGCTACATCTTCGTTATTCAAGCCAAACGACAGTATTGCTATGTTTGTGAATCTGTTTAATTTAAGATATCCTAATAATGAATTTTACAAAGAAATGTAGTTTACCAATTTCTACTTGTTTTTGTAAATAATGTCCATGACTTTTTTCATACTTACCAGATTTTTTATTTATTTATTTATTTATTGTGCATCCCTTCAAAGGGCTAAACATAACGTACGCTCTATGCTAATATACAGATCATTCGGAATATCAAAGAACTACTCAATATTTAATATAGAAGTAGAAGGTATCACTAACATCATTATAAACAATATCTTCTCGTAGATTTAACTGACAGTAACATTAAGAAAACATGCAAGTAAAAAATACCCAAACTGTACGTAATTTTCGTATCTCGGATCCCTATGCCATAATCTTGAAAGAAATCTGACCAGGGTTGTCTATAATGATTAGAGAACTGTGAAATGAAGATTTGAAGATGAAATTCCAAAATCGTTATGCTTTTCTATCATATTCAAAAGATCTTATGATAGCTGTAATGTTATTTAAATGAGAAAAAACAACAGATCACAATTTGTTCAATCGTACAGATGAACAAAACCTAAAAATTAACATACCCAATAAAATCTTCAGTCAGAATGAATAGCTTACAGATTCTTAATTATTTTCAATATATTAATGATTAGAATATGCAAAATATACCTCCAAATGTGTATGTAAATATATACATACTGATACATATATATAGGGATAAATAGATAAATAGATATAGATAGATGGCGAGATTGAAAGTAAAATAAAAAGATTTTCTGAGAGGCAAACAGGGAGAAAGACGAAATCATAAGCAGAAAATATGTTAACGTTCATATAACTGTTCTTAATAATGCAATGCTATATCACCTATCAATGGTAACTATTGGCCATAGCACGCTTCACACTGATCGAGGATAAAGATAAAGGACTAGTTATCTGGATCATTTATTGGTGATCTTACAGCGGACGAAAGATTCCCAACTAATAACCGTAGCCTCTTTTGGGTTGAGCAGATCCAGTCCTGGAAGAAACTGAGCCAAAATTGTTGCTTGCAACGGAAGAGCCAGCTGTGGCAGCTGAGCCCGGGCCAAAGCCAGCAGTATCAGCTCGGCCAGAGGCGAAGTCAGAGCTACCGACTGGGCCAGGGGCAAAGCTGGCACTACCAACTGGGCCAGGACCAAAGCTGGCACCACCAGCTTGGGCAGGGTTAAAGCTGGCACTCTCAACTGGGCCAGGACCAAAAGTGGCACCACCTGTTTGAACAGGGCCAAAGCTACCAGTGTCAACCGGGCCAAGGCCAAAACTGGCGCCACTATCTTGAACAGGGCCAAAGCTACCAGTAACAACTGGGCCAGGACCAAAGCTGGCGCCACCAGCTTGAACGGGGCCAAAGCTGGCACCACCAGCTTGAACAGAGCCAAAGCTGGCACCGCCAGTTTGAACAGGGCCAAAGTTGGCACTATCAACTGGGACAGGGTCAAAGCTAACAGTGTCAACTGGGCCAGGACCAAAGCTACCAGTGTCAACTGGGCCAGGACCAAAGCTGGCACCACCAGCTTGAACAGAGCCAAAGCTGGCACTGCCAGTTTGAACAGGGCCAAAGTTGGCACTATCAACTGGGACAGGGTCAAAGCTAACAGTGTCAACTGGGCCAGGGCCAAAGCTAGCAGTGTCAACTGGGCCAGGGCCAAAGCCGGCAACACCTGCAGAGCCAAAGTCGTCCCTTCCAGAAAGTCCAGGGCCAAAGGGGCCAGGTGCTGGACCGACGCTGTAGGCGGTGGCTTGGCCATGGCCTCCGCCGTGGCCACCTTTGATTGCGCTGTTGGGGAGACTTCCTTTGCCGACGAGCACGGCGCGGACCACGCTGCCGCCACCGCTGCTGCGGCCTCCGTGCGTTCCGTGCCCGTGCGCCCCGTGCCCTCCGTGCGCCTCGTGCCCTCCGTGCGCTCCATGCCCTCCGTGCGCCCCGTGCCCGCTGCCAAGACCGACTCCGAAGCCCCCGGAGGAGCCGTCGATCTTTCGGCCTCCGCGCGCACCATAGCCGCCGCCGCCAGCGACCACCAGACACGCCATCGCCATCACGGCAGCCGCTTGGATCTGGTGAGAACATTGAGACTGCCTCAGCTTCGGCGGAGACTTCACAGGAGAATTAGATATATGTATATATATGTGTGTGTATGTAGGTATTATGTATGTATCCATGTATGTATATATATACATATATATGTGTGTGTATGTAGGTATTATGTATGTATCCATGTATGTATATATATACATATATATGTGTGTGTATGTAGGTATTATGTATGTATCCATGTATGTATATATATACATATATATGTATATATATGTGTGTGTATGTAGGTATTATGTATGTATCCATGTATGTATATATATACATATATATGTGTGTGTATGTATGTGTACATATATATGTATATATATGTGTGTGTATGTAGGTATTATGTATGTATCCATGTATGTATATATATACATATATATGTGTGTGTATGTATGTGTACATATATATGTATATATACATATATATGTGTGTGTATGTAGGTATTATGTATGTATCCATGTATGTATATATATACATATATATGTGTGTGTATGTATGTGTACATATATATGTATATGTATATATAGCGTAATTTGGTAATATTTGTAGATGCATTTATGCTTACTTACATACCAATATATCTACACACATACACACTTACGTATATATTTATACATAAATACAGATACATTAGATATATGTACATATACATACATTTATATTCATATATAAGAGTATATGTAAATATATATATATATATATATATATATATATATATATATATATATATATATATATACATATATATATATATATATGTATATATATGTACATATGTATATCTATGTGTGTGTATGTAGGTATTATGTATGTATCCATGTATGTATATATACATATATATGTATATGTATATATATGTGTGTGTATGTAGGTATTATGTATGTATCCATGTATGTATATATATACATATATATGTATATGTATATATATATGTGTGTATATAGGTATGATGTATGTATCCATGTGTATATATATATATATATATATATATATATATATATATATATATATATATATATATATATGTATACGTATATATTTGCAATTATATACATATATACATATATATGTGTGTGTATGTATGTGTACATATATATGTATATATATACATATACACACATATATACGTGCATGTGCACATACAAACACACACACACACACACACACACACACACACACACACACACACACACACACACACACACACACACACACACACACACACACACACACACACACACACACACACACACACACACACACACACACACACACACACACACACACACACACACATATTCCTATAAAGCAATCGTAGAACTCAGGTCATCGTCTTACGTGGCGGCGAAGGGGATTCATCCTGGGAGGCAGCCTGGCACTGCTAAGCTGAAGGACCTTCGAGAGGCGAAGGATGTGCACCACAGCTCGGCCCGATCCTTATATACCAGATGGCGTGACGCAACCTTGGGACAGCTTAGTATGTGCTTAGTATACGTCCTTTGTCTTTAGTTGCTAGTTTTTTAAAGAGGCACACGAGCTAAAATCATGATCTTTTGCTTTTTCACTGTATTATTTTCATAGTTCTGTAGTAAAAAAATATAATGCAAGTCAACCATACTATTGCTATAGCCTTACAAGGAATATTCAAGAAATTGGCTACTGGATAAAGGGAATTCACACAAATATCAACTAATATTTTAGCCAAAAAGTCATCTGAATAAAATTTCCAGGTGATAAAATCACTATATATGTGTGTGTGTGTGTGTGTGAGTGTGGAAATGCATGCATACATATATGAGTGTGTGGGAGATAAATGTATGAGTGTACGTGCTTATCTCTCTCTCTCTATCTATCTCTATGTATGTCTGTCTCTCTCTTTATCATATTTAAATTATATTGTGATAGCAGCAATGTTATTTAAGTGAGAGAAAAATAGTTCGTAATTTGTTTAAGCGTATAGATGAACAAAAGTTTTGAAGTTAACATAACCAACAGAATCTACAATCAGAAACAATAGTTTAAAGATTCTTAATTATTCTCAATATGATTATAAGAATACGAGAAAGAGCTTTTAGATTTGGAAATCAAAACCCATTTTTCATTAGTGTCTGCCCTCTACAGACATTGAAAATTTAGAATAATTACCCCGAAGTGTAATTTCTATTTCATTATTATTGTTATCATTATCATTACTATTATTATTATCATTACTATTTACAGAGGGTTACTCTTTGATGCAAATAAAATCATGATATTCTAGGACCTGTGAGTGCCTGTCTAAAGAATTCCATATTTACTCGCTATCTTTTGGTGCATTCGGGATATCAAGATAAATGCATAAATTAATTTGTTTGGTTACTCTAGCTTTATTATTCGTATGTGAACGTCCCAATGTTTTTAGAATTTTATACATTTTCCATCAGATTTAAGATTTGAGAAAAAAAAAATGTTCCTTCTATCTTCACATTCATTTGTGCGTGTATATGAAACCAGTTATATTGCAGTTCTGTAATCAGAATGCTATGCAATATTCCTTCTCAATGTTTCCACTAAATTATGGAATGAAAGAACATTCGAAGTTATTGAATTATTGGAAAACAAGTTGATACCTATTTATCTATTACTTTTATTATCTTATCTCTCTCTACATACACACACACACACACTGTAATAGAGCCGATGAGCGATCGTGTGTGCTGACTAAAACGCGTCTGGCGAGATGCATATATCTTGGGTAGCGGTAGTGTTGCAGACTCCGGGATCAATAAGAGCAGTTTTATTATAGCGAGAGAATGGTACAGCTGACTGGCAGAGACTCTGTCTGGTCAGGATGCTATGGGGTGTCTCTTTGTCGTTCGCAGACGACCCTCTTTTATGCAGGTCTACTTAGGAAATTGACAAAGGGTAGTGGAAGAGAAAGCACGCGTTCGTGTACACAGGGCGACGTCACAAGGCGGAAGGCCTGCGGATGTCGCATCAGCTGTTGTTTTGAGCAAGAGACTTGATATGTAGAAACTAGTGTTATTGTATTAAGATATGTGGATTGATTAATATATGGTAATTAGTAGAGAAAGACTGGTGCCGATCATGTGAGGCCGCAGGCCTGTTTATCGGATGTTTATAAATATACATACACACACACATATATATATATATATATATATATATATATATATATATATATATATATATATATGTGTGTGTGTGTGTGTGTGTGTGTGTGTGTGTGTGTGTGTGTGTGTGTGTGTGTGTGTGTGCACATACACACACACATATATATATATATATATATATATATATATATATATATATATATATATATATATATACGTATATATATATACACTTGTACTAACTCCCCAATGAGCAATAAGCCTTGGTATATAGTGTGTTAGACAGGCAGCTCGGTATATGTATAGAGCGTGTTGGTGCGTACGTGGACACATATCTGTATAATACAGTATCTGCTTACATGGGATTTTGTACTAGAATCTAAGCCCACATACAGGCAGAAGGAATGTAAAATTCCAGAAAATGACACATTTTCATTACTAATACTGTACATCTTATCACCTTTAGTATATGATAAAAGTAACAGTATCAGTATACTTCGTTATCCTTCAAGTATGCTATGTTTTGCATTTTGTTTTCTATTTACTGATCGAGGGTAAAGATAAAGGACTAGTTATCTGGTTCATTTATTGGTGATCTTACAGTTGGATGAAAGATTCCCAACTAATAACCGTAGCCTCTTTTGGGTTGAGCAGATCCAGTCCTGGAAGAAACTGACCCGAAATTGTTGCTTGCAACGGAAGAGCCAGCTGTGGCAGCTGAGCCCGGGCCAAAGCCAGCAGTATCAGCTCGGCCAGAGCCGAAGTTGGAGCTACCGACTGGGCCAGGACCAAAG